AGACGTTTTTAACAATTTTCTCCTTATAGACGCAACAGATAGAAGTAATATTAGTAGCAATCAAAAGCGCTTTTTTATCGCATTAAGCCTGTATAAGCCTATACCCCTTTTCATTGTTCGCAAACACGCCCTTTAACGATCGTTAACGACAACCATTCGTTAACGATCGTTAACGACTACCCTTCGTTAACAATCGTTAACATAATTTTCAATAATTTTTTTCAAAAACGATCTTTTCTTTTAAAGTGATCGTTTTTCTAAAAATAATCGTATAAAAAACGGTCGCAAATCGTTTTTATAAAAACGATCGTTTTCAAAAACGATCGTTATTCGTTTTCTAGAAGTTCAAAACGAGTGGGTCGTTTTTAAAAACGATCGTTTTTTTCCGAAAACAAAACGATCGGTTTTGAAAATGATTGAAAAACGAAAAACGAAAAACGATTTACAACCCTAATTACAATATTACTAAACACCCCTTCTTGGATTTCATTTGTCAAAAACTAAGAAAATAATATTCTAAAAATTTTTTTAACCATACCATCCTTTAGGAAGTGTCTTCAATAGCTTAAAGATCCAAAATGAACCATTTTTATTGAAAGGGGCGCCTAGAAATCCAATATTACTGAACACCTCCTCCCCCCTTTCTTGGATTTCCTTTTTAAAAAACTAAGAAAATAATAATTTTCGCTTATTTTAAACCATAACATCCTTTATGAAAGGTCTTCAATAGCTTAAAGATCCAAAGTTTAGTAATATTGGATTTTTAGGTGCCCCTTTTGATAAAATTGGTTCATTTTGGATCTTTACGCTATTGAAGACACTTTCTACAGGATGGTATGGTTTGAAATATTTTAAAATTATTATTTTCTTAGTTGATGACAAATGATTTATCAATTCAAATAACTATTAACTATTTTTAATAATTTTACTTACCTTTTCTTATTTAATTTTGCATTAATGGCACTTATTCTTCTTCAATTTCAGGAGTCTGATGTAGATTAAACGGCCCCCCTGACTGTTGGTTTTTAGCCCCTGAATCATACAGGGCTCCTCCTGCATGCTAAATCTGTCTTTGTTAGGATTTTTTTGTCATGGTCTTATATTCTGTCAGACCTAAAATCTTGAAAACAATAATGATGATACATCGGCAATAAAATATTTACATGTATAAATACCTTTTTTGGGCCAAACACCCCCTCTTTCTACGCCCCTGACGAAAAAAAAAATTTGTAATTTTTTTCTGCCCCTTATGGATTAAAAGAATATAGGTGCAAAGTTAGCACCATTTATCTCTATTATTACAAGAGTTATTACAAACTCCAGGAGAGTGTAAACCAATTTGTTTACGGGTTTTCTAGTTAAATGTTTTACTTTATGTTTTAACATTTATGTATTTGATGTATAAACATTTCGTGTTTATTGGAATAGCAGAAGCTAGGGCGTAAATAAGGATTCTATAGGGGGGGGGGGATAAATTTTATTTAATGTGGGGCGCGAAGCGCGCCAATTTTTTTTTACCCCCCTAGAAAAATATCATGATGTATTCAAATTAATGGTCTTAGTTGGGTTTGATTTGCATTTTCCACTCATTTCTGAAATTTACAAACTCCATCAAAAAGAGGCCTCATTTCCTACCTTTCAGCTTTCACCTTAACAGGATCCTTCATTACAGTCATTCATTTTACATTAACTACTAAGATCTGTAAAAAAAAACTGAATTTATTTT